GATGCAACTCTGCAGAGCGAATCGCGGCGCCTTAGACGACTGGGCCACCCGGCCCCCTTGTTTTACTTGAAAAAAGTAGAAAATATATGACAAAGTAATTAAAAAGACCATTGATAATAGAACCGACAAAACACTTTCCATAATTATATGAAATCTCTGCTAGAGACAGACGTACGATTCCGATTGACGGGTCCACCCACGAATATTCCTGTGGACGACAAAGTGTAAAATAATTCAATATACTGCAGGGCAAAAGAAAAAATACATCCATGTTTGATTGTGGCTAAAAATGAAACAAACAAGAAATGGTTATTCGAAATGTATTTGATACGGGTATCATGGCTGTTTTGGACCTTACATTGCAGTGTTCCAGCCACTGTTTTCAGCCTTGTAAACTTTATAAAGTTTGTAATTTGTTGGTCAAATTTTATTTTTAAGTGTATGTTTTCTTTTGCTGCGCACTTTAAACACATCATGATGTTTGTTTGTTTGTTTGTTGTTGTTTAACGCCGCACTCAGCAACATTCCAGCTATGTGACGGTGGTCTATAAATAATCGAGTCTGGACCAGACAATCCAGTGATTGACATCATGAGCATCGATCCACGCAATTGGGATCAATGACATGCATCAACCAAGTCAGCGAGCCCGACCACCCAATCCCGTTAGTCGCCTCTTACGACAAGCAGGGTCGCTTTTTACGGCAAGCGTGCGTGGCTGAAGACCTATTCTACCCCGGATCTTCACGGGTTATGGCATACAACAAGGCTTAATATAACGCATAACGTTACAGCGTATATCAGACATACAAGAACTTTTGCTTATATGCAAAATGTGTCCATATCGATAGAAGACAGTCCAACCTTGTTAATCTGGACGGTACAATGAAATCTTCCAGATTAACGTATCACAGGTTAGCGGGGCCCGGATTAAGAGATTTCCTCGTAAATGATAAACGTATGATATTTATGGTGATTTAATAAGTTTTAACAAGTAAAACATTAACAGTTGAGTTTGTGGTTTAAAAATATAAAGACTGAACGACCGACCTTCGCTCTTCGGGCAGACGCTCTGTCCCAAACACCACGGAGGCGGTGTTTTGACCCATGAAACAAATCCGCTGACCTTACGGAAATATCGTTTAAGAAATGTTTCTGTGACAAGTTAATGTTCCAGATACAACGCATTATCTACATCGTACTTATAAGATACAGGTGAGTGCACGTGCCAAAAAGGCTGAAGAACACAGGTACCAGGATTAGCCCACCTGTCTACAGGTAACATTGTCTGACGGTTCTGCTATGCTAATTTCAGGAAGTGTCACTTGATGTGAAAGTATTGTCTTGTACAAGGGGTAGCATGTTTTAATGTTAACGCATAAATATTAAATCAAGATAGGTCATAGGTCAGGGGATTAATTGAACAAATGACAGTTAAAAACCTGCCGTCTGATGGAGTATTGTTTTGTGGAAAACAGTTAAAAAGCTTTAGATTTGCCAGATGTTTCTAGAACCAGACCGTCTTTGTTTAATTCTGACAATCTTACAGGTTCAGTGATAAGTGCGCATTGTGTCAATTGCTGGAATAAGACGTTAAAATTATTTTCTATATCAATTCAGGGATTGTTTATTCCTATAAATGCTTAAATATACAGGCATACACTAAGAATGTTTTCCAATACCGATTAAAAATATTCATAAACATTTTAGAGATATTTCGGGTGTGGTGTGTGTGTGTCTCTCTCTCTCTCTCTCTTTGAAGACAATTTCTTTTTGTTTTCAACAGTCTAAAGCATAATTATTATTTTCAAGTATTTTCTTTCTGTGACAACTGATTTGTTTTGGATAATATCCCATATGGTACTCGAAGACATGAGAATTTATGGATAACTAAAAAATATATGATTACGATGATGATAATTATGTATTTTATGACGATTTGATGGGCAATAGAGTAAATTTTCGAACATAACATTTTCTATCTCTTATGTAATACGTAATATCTAGACACGTTTGTTTTGTTTTTGTTTTTTGTTTGTTTTTGTTTTTTGGGGGTATTATTATTATTATTATCATTATTAGTAGTAGTAGTAGTAGTAGTTACAGATTGATTTTTTTAGATGGAACAAAGAGGGTTTTGGTGATCCTGGCATTATTATAGATTATTATAGAGATGTGGAAGTATGTAAATAAAATTATAATTTGTTTATAACCCATACACACCCATATGCCTATCGAGCAATTATCTTCATTTCTACATTTGATCGCGAGCGAAGTTTGATTGAATAAAATTCTGACATTTACTTAAATGTCACAAAATATGGTTCCCTACTCTGGAAAACGACAAAAAGTAGACACATCCTGGTCCTGGTTATTAATTAGTAATTGTGGTGATAATGTTGAGATGTGATCAGGCAAACACCTGTCAATGATGACACATTAAAGGTCTGGTATCAAACCACACGCGCGTGTTCCTACTCTACATGCTCTGTTCAAAGTTTGTTTGTTTGTTTGTTGTTTAACGCTGCACTCAGCAATATTCCAGCTCTATGACGGCAGTCTGTAAATAATCGAGTCTGGACCAGACAATCCAGTGATTGACATCATGAGCATTGATCCGCGCAACTGGGATACGATGAAATGCATCAACCAAGTCAGCGAGCCTGATCACCCGATCCCGTTTGTCGCCTCTTACGACAAGCATAGTCGCCTTTTACGGCAAGCATGGGTTGCTGAAGACCTATTCTACCCCGGATCTTCACGGGTCCTGTTCAAAGTAATGACACTTAAATAGATAACAATACAGATTTGAAATAAAGAAAACTCACTCACTCACTCAATACTCATATGATCCACGGGTGATAGGCATGTGAGGCCACACATTTTATATTTTTCGTTTCACGGGCCCGCCGCCCCTACTGAAAAGCAGCTGGGAAAGAAATAAAAGAAACAAAGAAATATTTAATTTTATTACGTCTCCCGCTTGTAATATAGTCCCTCTTATTACGTACAAAGGGTGTATATAAAATTCATGTCTACATCACCATCAGTGATCCAAGAGGCCACCTGCAGTTTTAATAAAAAAAAATAAAAAATGATTGACATAGCTATTTATATTTATTTGTTTTTCGACCGACCTTGTGTGGAAAAGCTTTAAAAAATCGTGAAACAAACAATTTAAAAGTCGTCAAAAAGAACACCCACCTTACAGATGCACGAGGAATGAGTGGCCACGATGCTATCCTACCGCATGCCCATTTTATTTTATTTTATTCATTAATTTATCCGATTTTATTGTTGATATTTTTTTAAGAAACAAATAATCATATCATTTTGTTAAGAATTACATTAGCTCAGAGAAATTGCTTCATCTTCGTCAGAAACCTTTAAATTGGAGTGGGGTGTGTGCGTGTGTGGGGTTGGGTTTATTTTATGTACTATTCTTGATATATTGTACGATCCGGGTAGAGAATTGGTCTTCTGCAACCCATGCTTGGAGTAAAAGGCGACAATGCTTGTCGAAAGAGGCGACTAACGCGATCGGCTGGTCAGGCTTATTGACTTGTGCATTCATCGTATCCCATTTGTGTAGATCGATGCTCATGATGTCAATCAATGGACTGTCTGTTCCAGACGCGATTATTTACAGACCGCCATCATATAGCTGGGGTATTACTGAGTGCGGCGTTAAACAACAAACAAACAAAATCATATGTTATACCCAATATTGACACCCCAACTGATGAACACAGACGAAAAAAATAATATCATGGCACGAAACGTTTTTAAGAAACTCATTTTCATCAGACTGGAATACCAAATTTGTATTATATGATTATGTTTGTCTAGACGCCAGGTCGAATCCCGGTTCGCCCCGATTATGTTTCTAGGTTTGTCAGCACCATACCCGTGCTCGTGGGTTTCACCGAAGTGGTAAACGTCTGAGATCTGAATCACTTCGGGCTTTCCTCCCACATTAAGCTGACACGCCGCGATATAACTGGAATACTGTTAAAAGCGGCGTTAAACCCAACTCACTCACTCACTCTAGACGCCAGGACCGGGTGATTATGAGAAACCAAAATTATATCATTTATGTTAAGTTATATTTTAAGGATTATTTGATTTGAAACAACTCACACTGCTCCGACAAAAAAAATAGATACATAATTATTTGGCAAAGCAAACGGTTACTGGTCAAGACTCTAATTTCGATAAATAATTCAAAACAAAAAATTCATTTTCGTGACATTTTTTCAACACATTGTTTGCATATCAGGCGTACAACTTATGTTGTTGGTGAAAGCTGAAAATTAATTAATTTATTTCCAGTATTTATCCAGAACAAATTATGGTTTCAAAGAATTTCCGTGCATATTTGATCTTTTAAAGAAATAATTTAAAATTAAAAGTAAGACTTTTTAACACTTGTCAGATTCCACTGCGTGAATGACTGGTACCTACTTCTCACGCTGTCTATGGTAATACTTCGGCGAACCATATGTTTCCATTTTTACCGTTGTTCGACTTAATCATCAACCCAAAGTTGTATCAATAATCAATTTGACATTTCGCGTCTATATCATCTTAAACCTGTTTCAAAACACTTCGATAAAATGACAAGCAGCGATGTGCCTGATCATCAGGATTACCAGATGCTTTGCTAGTTGTCATCTTTCGCATACATCACCAGAGGACACATACTGTTGCAGAAGTGTCAAAACTGACGCCGCATCAGTAATTATGACAATGCCGATATATATTGTCTTCTCGGGGTGTAACGCATTGCTAACCCGGGTCGTCAGATGGCTCACGAAATTTACCGTTTGCACGTGTCATGGCGGTTTCAGCGAACCACATGGCGTATTGCAACAAATGTTGCTAAATTTTTCATAAGATCAACAGCGAATGACACGGCGGCTAAATCCGTGCACGCGTCTCAAACGTCGGTCCGTTCACGTCTCTTGTCACAAGTTAGTCATATACAATATGCGCGATGAAATATTTAAACACAGGTGTTTAATGGCGATTACAATTGGATGCGCGTTCTCCGCTATTCCGAGTGACACCACCCACAGCAGAAATGCGACTGTTCATATAGACGTATGACAATGGGATCGGACAATGAAGTTAGCGGGCAAGGCAGTCACTTTGACAACGTCCCAGCTCTGAAGCTTCTGGTCGTATTTCTCAGCGGAGCGTGACGGAGAGGTAGTCTCGTGCGATACGTCATAAGCGCGTGCAGCCAAGCGAGGCACGCGCCACGATCCACCCGCTCTCACGATAACTGCTCTCATTCATAAACTTATGAATGGGCCTCTCAAGCCTAAATTGAGGCCCCAGTTAATATTTTCATTCATAAAATCGTCGTGCCAGGTGCAAAGAGAAATTCATTGGTCGGCGGAGTCGGTCACGTGATCCATGTGTACACATTGAGTGATGGTAAATGTGATTTCTCCGAGTGAGACACTCAGAAAGGGTTAGACAATCGCCGACGACATATGCAACCACGACTGACAACGTCTGCATCTTCAACTACAACACCAGTTTCTAACATTCCCAAATACCGATATCACCAAGGTACCTGGATCAAAAGACTAATTTAAGGTGAGCATTTTAAAAATCGTTTACGTTAATTTTACTCACATTTGACATTATTTAGAATGAGCTAAACTATGGCCACGTTCAGTTTAATGCATATACTGCAGAATGTATCGGGTATAGGGCTATACATATGTACTATACGGGTGTTTTCGTTTCTCGGAATCTGCATTGCTTTCGATCAATGATATCACATATCCAGACGGGGGGATGTGTCGTGGACCATTGCGGCAGATGGACCTGCCCAAACAGATTTCAATGCGCTGATCCCATACTGAGAGCATTCAATTAACAGGAAAATCATTGTTGAAATTTTTAACTGATATTTTTCAAAATTACCAAGGTTAGAAGTTTTAAAACCCACGTAAAGCAATTTCCTGTACATAGAGTTCGTTGTTTCAGCGTTATATTTCCAGCATAAAACTTTAATAAATATAATATAGAAAAAAGGACATGTTAGGAAGAGACACGTTCTATTCAAATTGCCTGTTTTGGTAGGAGATACGAATTTCCTTTATGTTTGATTCAACTAAAATTCAACAATATAACCATTTTTTAATTTCGATTAATTCATTTAAAGTGGCATAACATGGATGTGTTCTTATTAAATTATTTCTCATTTTCCTTATATCATGATGATGGTGATTTTGATTTTGATTTATTGACTTTCCTTTTATGACTATGCTTTATGTATTTTTATATACCTTATTTTTGTTATTATTTTTGTTATTATTTCAGAATACCTTTCTTCAAGGACCATGAACATATGCAGTTCCCAGCTTGTGTAGTAGCATCCACATATAACGCGATGATCGTGCCAGACTTTACCCCTCTCGGAGCTTCCTTCCCAACGAATGCGTACCACCGGATGATGGTGTCAATGATGGAACAAGGAAATAACTACCGAGGCTTCCTCGGCCGGTCCCCACCCCCAATCGTGCGGTCCCCACCCCACCTAACCCGCTCCCCACCCCATCTCCTCTGTTCCCCGTCCGCACTGATGGGGAGATCAGAACCGCTGCTGAGGAGACCCGACTACCGTTTGGGTCGAGACTCGGACCTCCACATCTCAACATTCACCCCATCCACTGGCTCCACCCCGAAGATGGACGTGGCGGTATCCCCCGACAGCAGTGAGACTGGATCATGCCTCTCCCCATCTTCTGAAAAATCCCAAATGTTTATCTCAAGTGAGGATGGAGATAGTGGTACTGTGGATGGACCTCAGACGGACAAGGATGGGTTCACAGACAGAAAAGCATTCAAATGTCCCCAGTGCTTATATTTCACTGACCGGAAGAACAATCTAAAGCGCCACATTGTCACAATGCATCAAGAATGTTCCAAAACTTTAGAATGCTGCGGTGTAATGTTCCTCAGTAAAGCAGCTCTCAGAGACCACGTTGGCCTCTTCCACCGCGGCGGTTACCGTTGTCAGATTTGTTCGAGGAACTTTTGCCGAAAGGCTCTTCTTCGACGCCATCTCACTGTCCATAGCGGGAGGAAGGACTTCTCCTGCGACTTGTGTGGGTACGCCACCAGCCACAAGAGCAACCTGGAGAGGCATCAGAAGGTACATCTTCGCCGTCCCGTGTGCGCCACCACAAGGGAAGAATGCCCCCTTCTCCCTCCTCTACCGCCGCTGGAGAAACAGAGAGCATCTCACTACTATCCGAAATTCGGTGGCCATCGTGAAAAGACAATCAATCGATTTGTATTGTTGCCCAATAGGATTAAATACACACATCGAGGCACCCCATCAGCCACCCCTAAAAGAAAACAGTCTCCGGATGTAACACCGTTGAGTGTTCAAGATGCGGAGAACAACGCTATGCAGGATGAGGACGTTAATATCGATATAGATTTACCGATTTACAAAGAAGACGCGAGCCAAGGAACAAGTTTTAAGCCTGGTACTGTGATAAGGCAAGATTCCGACGTTGAAAACATGCAGACCGAAGTGTATAGCTGTTCTCAAGAAAAAACTAAGAACACTTCTTCCAAGTTATCGCTCCTCTCGTCAAGGAGCCGGATCTTTGTGACGCCATACAAGTGCTTTGAGTGTGGTATGACATTTTCAAAACAGGGCGACCTCCATGCTCATAAATGCCGAACTCAGCGACAGACCTCAGATACTGGTCTGTCTGTGATAACAGCGGTCAGGAAAGGTCAAATCAAGCTTCTATCACAGATGGAATCGGATATGAAACCCCGGATTTGTGATGTTGTACACAGTGAGTCCCAGAGCTGTACAAAATAGCTGCTTGTACACGCGTCCAACATATACCACTCAAAAGAAGTTAAGGAACACTCGATCCATGAGTGGTTAACTGCAGTAATATGAATAAATCGGGTGTTCTTTAACTTCTTTTGAACTGTATACATTCTTTAGTGCTACACAGTGTTAGATGTAGGTTACGGTAAGATGCTTGTTTCACTTATTGACAATGCTGAAGAGGGATGCTGAAACGTTATATCCCACAATGCATCATGCTGGCGTTTCAGAATCGCGGTGCTTGATGCTTTCAGGTAATATCGCCATTACAAATGTTATATTTTTTTCATTGTTTATTTTGTACTATTAAATCTTTAAATGAGTCATCTTTTGTTTTATTTTATGAAATGTTGACGCTATTCGTAAAAATGAAATTGATCCTTCCATCATTTCCATGTAAGATCGATGCCATGTCAGAACGTGAAGCATGTCTTCTGCGATCGATTTACAGCTGAGATGATTAGGTCAGTGATTGTGTGATAAAGTCGGGTCGTGTGCGATCGTGTGTGGAACGTATGTCACATCAACTCTGTCCCAGACCATATGACGCGTATGCTAACAAATTACAATTATAACTAATAATCATAACATAGTTATTACCTAAGTTAACTTAGTATTCAAATAATGATGACTCCCTGAATACAATCCGATCTCAGTAATATCGGAGAAGTCCATGTTATTTAAAGGGGGTTAAGTTTGGTAAACATGAATATACTCACAGACATTAAAACAATGAGAAATGAGTAATAATATATAATATTATATTCTCATGGAGTAATTCATGAAGTCTTTAAAAAATGAGACATTTTTAACATTTGTAAATCAACAACTGGGTCCTTTAGTACTGAGGGTAACAACTCACTGCCCCCTCAAAAATAGCATCGTCCTATTTTAACGTCCTCAAGTTGCGAGCGTATGTTCGAATCTCCAGAAATGACGTCATGATAGAACAATGTTTTATCGTGAAATAAACCGCGCCTCGTTCTTCACTGTTCTTACGATTTATCGCATAGCTATCTTATGTTGTATAATGATATGGTTTCACGCGTCTTTGAGCGGCATTTAGAAGTGATGCACATAAAGAAGACATTTATGGATATCAACTTCTTTATTATAACACACGTTTCGGAGTATAAGCTTACTCCATCATGAGTTGAATGAATGCTATGAGGCAGAGAGAAGGGATACACAATCATAAGGAAGAGAATATATGGATGTCAACTTCTTTATAATGACGAAACACAACGTTTCGGAGTATATGCTTACTTCTTCACCAGGTGATTGATGAAGAAGTAAGCGTATACTCCGAAACATTGTGTTTCGTCTTAATAAAGAAGTTGACATCCATACATTTTCTTCCTTAAGTTTAAGATGTGTCATATTAACTGGCAAATACTATTCACTTAAACACTTGATAATACCCCAATCTTCAACATTAAAAATAGCTGCTGTGTGATTTAACTTTCCAATTCAATATAACCTATTCAGGAATAGACAGAAGATAGACCAGGAAATATGATTGCACCGGGTATTGATAATTTCAAGCTGGCACAAGAATATAGCGTCAGTTTACATCAAAATCAGTAGTATTTTACACAAAAGAATAGAGTAAGTATGGTTGTACATCGCTTTTAACAATATTCCAGCAATATCACAGAGGGACACAGAAATAGGCTTCACACATTTTACTAATGAGGGAAATGGAACTCGGGTCTTTGGCGTGACGAGCGAACGCTTTGACCACTTGGCTCCCCCACCGCCTCACAAAAGCATTTATATGGAGCCCACGTTTTAATATTGGTGAGACCTGATTTTGGGGATTTTTAGACAGGATATGTTTCCCGTCATTGCATGAAAAGACGCACCTTGTTTCTGTGAATGGATGAAAGGAACAAATGTTTATATTGAACGTTTTGTTTCAGGGCACCCGACATGTCCAGCAAACAACATAGTTTTGTTGTAGAAGAGTTGAGGTGAAATGGGTTTTACGTCGCGTCGAAGATTATTGCGCGTATATAGCGACGTGCACGCACGTGTGTGTGTGTGTGTGTGTGTGTGTGTGGCTACTTGTACTTGTCCAGACTGATACCGATTTATAGTGCTAGCTCACTGAGATACCATGCCGCAGTTTAACATGAATACTCTACTCAGACACAGTATACTGACTCCGAGCCGACCAGTCTTTGTTTTAGCCCCTTAATGCCGAGCGCCAGACAGGGTAACAACGAGTACCATCTTTAAACGTCTTTTGGTATGACGCGACCGAGAATCGAACCCTGGACCTTCCGCTCTCCAGGCGGACGCTCTATCACTAGACCACAGAGACGGTCGTTTTTATAACAGAGCACGAGGATATATTATTCTTTCCATTTTGTTCTGGAAGAAATTCTTTTTTTTTTTTAAAAAGAGGAACAACCACATTTCCATTATGATAATAAAAAACGTCGACGCCAAAGAATAAAGGTTATGTTGATTTTTAATCACGTTTTTTGCAGCACAGTTGGGGTGGTGTTGGGGCAGTTTTAATGTCTCGGCCCAAACATTTCTTTTGTAGTTGACTCAGCAGAATTGATAAATGCTCCTGAAGAAACAGTCCATTGTACATCCCAATCCCGTCAGAAAATGTTAATATAGAAATGTAATTGTGGTCTATACATGACATCAGTCCGATATATCATGGACCAGTATGTGCATTCATGGGTTGTAAAAAAACACGGACTTTAATTCAGGTCAGTCGAGTGTGTTAAAACGACATGTAGAAGCTGGGGTAGCAAAACCGTCATCACAGATGGATTTTAACTTCTTCATCACATCATGGTATCTGTATCGACATGCTGTATTACAAGAATGAATTTTTAGAAGTTGAAAATACCGACCCTGCCTGCACTGGTTAATCGAGCATAATTGTTTAACCATTTATACGTCTACTCGTTCAACCCGCAAAAGATATTACTTTTTTTTCACTTGCTACAAGTTAAAAACAGTGTTGTACATGACATTGATAATATTGATAAAAAATGTAGTTCATTGTCTGTAAAATAAAAAAAAATGCGCAAATATTATCTGCTTCAGACTTGCACTCAATCTGCCTATTAAAAGAAAATCCGTAAGTTGTCGTTAGGTACTCATTAAGTTGTCATTAGGTACACATTAAGTTGTCGTTAGGTACACATTAAGTTGTCGTTAGGTACACATGAAGTTATCGTTAGGTACACATTAAGTTGTCGTTATGTACACATTAAGTTGTCGTTAGGTACACATTAAGTTGTCGTTATGTACACATTAAGTTGTCGTTAGGTACACATTAAGTTGGCGTTAGGTACACATTAAGTTGTCGTTAGGTACACATTAAGTTGTCGTTAGGTACACATTAAGTTGTCGTTATGTACACATTAAGTTGTCGTTAGGTACACATTAAGTTGTTGTTAGGTACACATGAAGTTGTCGTTAGGTACACATGAAGTTGTCGTTAGGTACACATGAAGTTGTCGTTAGGTACACATGAAGTTGTCGTTAGGTACACATGAAGTTGTCGTTATGTACACATTAAGTTGTCGTTAGGTACACATGAAGTTGTCGTTAGGTACACATTAAGTTGTCGTTAGGTACACATTAAGTTGTCGTTAGGTACACATTAAGTTGTCGTTAGGTACACATGAAGTTGTCGTTAGGTACACATTAAGTTGTCGTTAGGTACACATGAAGTTGTCGTTAGGTACACATTAAGTTGTCGTTAGGTACACATGAAGTTGTCGTTAGGTACACATTAAGTTGTCGTTAGGTACACATTAAGTTGTCGTTAGGTACACATGAAGTTCTCCTTAAGTATTTTTCATTAAGCGGAAACGGGAACACTGCCGGACCACGTGGGAGTTGCTGCCAACAACGTCGCATACATCTTCAGCTTCAACATAAAACCGCGGTAGAAGTCGCCATCTCTCAGTACCATTGTCTTGCGGTAAGTCCATACGCCGGAGAGCCCTGAGGGTGCATTCATGGCATTCTCAATAATTAAAAAACATATTTATTTGTAATCGAACTAACTATATAATCTAATTTAACATCCTCTCATGAGACATTATCAACATTTCATGTGATCTGGCGGGGTGGATATCGACTTAGGTATAGCCTCGCCATAACGAGTCGTGCTAACGAGGTGTGAGAATGGACACAATAACAAGAGGAGACTTTGTTGACGGCATACATAAAACATGAGAAGCAGCTCTCTATTAGTCCTCGTCATACAGATTATTACTGCAGTGCTCTCGATATTATCAATGCAAATAAGTGCAATAACAAAGTGAAATTGTATAACTTCGCACAATTAATGCAACACAAGGTCTAAGAACGCCAACAATGGTCTTTACTGATAGTGTCCAGAGAGACTGTGACACGGAGACAACAAACGAGGAAGGGGGGGGGGAGGGGGATGTTAGTATTCCGACCACAAATCAATAATATGTTGTTGTTATTGAAACTTCATCTACTGACATTATGAATATAGATAAAATATATATGAAGTACTATAATTAAATCCTGTTGAATATCTATCTTATGAAGTCACGCCTCACTTGACTTTCTCAATATCTTTTGTTACCCAGGTTACGTTTTCAGAAAATCAACAATAGCCATGAAATTGGCATTATTGATTTTATTTCTTTGACCCAGCGAATTGTTGATCCAAGAATCTGGAAACCAAAAGATGTCTGGCCTCACAACGAACCACAGCAGCCTTGGCGTGTTCGCGAAAAAGTGAGCGTATCCTGCCCCACCGGTGGCACCAGTCACAAACACATGCAAAGGCAAGTCAATTGTTCACCTAAAAAAACACGAGAACATATGGTACAAGTCAAAATAGGGGATTGCATCGGACATCATTTTTTGTCACTGATGCGTCAAATTGAGAAATGTCAAAACACTTTATTAAAATATTTATTATGTTGTCATAAGATAGTGTGGCTTATTTCACGATAAAACAGTGTTCTATCGTCGTCATTTGTGGAGATTGGAATATGCGCTCGCAATTGATGACGTCATATATTGGATAACGTTACTTTTTAGAGGGAGGTATCTGGTAGATATAGATGCATCTGGGCTACGCAGATCAACGCAGTGGACGAACGATCCCATCCAAAAGTGGATCGGTATTAGGAGAAAAGGTACAGATAATCGACGTGAGAATTGTAAGAATATGCGGGAAATACCAAACTTAACCCACCTGTTTGTAAAATGGACTTGTCCGACATTGCCGAGGTTGGATTTTGCTCAGGGAGTCATTATTATTAAAATGTGGGTAAACATTATTAAAGCTTGTACATTTCAT